CAATTATATAAGATAAAAACAAAAGGAAATTTATTGTCAAAGAGAGCTAACATTGTGTCTTTCACAAAGAAAAAGTATTGAAAAATTAAGTTCCCAAACATTTAGCCAAATTTAAAAAAACCTAATTTATATAAACACACTGTAAAGGAAAGACCTTACAAATAAAAAACATTTAAATCTTACCTTTAAGCAGTGCAGTAAGTATTGCTACATCTATATCTTGATGTTCATCTGATCCAATGTGGAAAACAGTGATCTATTTAGAGATTAATTCATAATATTATGCCTTTACATTTTAAAAAGCAACGCATCTAAGACACATATATCACAAAGTAACTTCAAACTATGTGGCAGATATAGTTTTGGGGTCAGAAATAATTTCATTACAACCAAAACCCAGAAAATGAAAAGAATTTGTATCATTTACCAAATAAAATTCAAGTATATTCAAAACGTTGGTTTCATATTACATTCATTTTTGACCTATCTTATGTCCTTACTAGAATAGGAAATTTATGAGCTGAAGCTACAGATTACTAATCCGAGTAAGTCCTGCTGTTCCTTTTACAGAGTAGACATTTACTCAATTCAATTCAAGTAATTTATGTGTTCTTGAATGAGAAGTGCTTTGTTGACTGCTTTGACTGGAAATTTCTTTAAATTATTTGAAACATAAAATCATTTGAGAGTTTTTTTTTTTAACAACGCTTTTATAAAGTGAAAGATTACTGTTACAGCTCCAATACAAATTTTTCAACTTCATTTCATAGTGTACAAAAATGAAATGCATGAAAGAAAACAGCAAATCAAACCATGTTATCATCTACCTACTTACAGAGTTTCTAAAAATTTTTATGCCTGTATATTTAAGCCCATGCTTAGATGACTGAAATTAAGCAGCACTGATCTTTAATTTGACCACTCAGAAGAAAATAATAAGTTGTTTTCCTCCAAATACATTTTAGAGAAGCCATTAACGACCCTTTAGTGTTCTTCCTTGATCCTGGGCATAATCTACTGAGGCTTAATTATGAAACTTTTCTTAAAATAGAAGTGCAATGCATGTCTCAATACCGTATAAAAACTATAATCATTCCAGGATACCTCTTAGCCCGAACACAACTATAAATGACACCTTTACATGGTTAAAAAAGATTTAAAATTTTAAATTCAAATTAAAAAAATTTTTTTCTCCAATTTAGAATGTGCTCTGAATGAAATAAAAAGGCTTGTTCTGCTGAAATCTACTTACAAGCTCCTTTCTCTTCATGCACTCCATCAGTGTTTGAAATAAATGAACTGCTTCACTTTGGCCAAAGTTAAATGTTTTTTTGATGGTTGAAATAATATCAGGCTCTGCTGCATCAGGAAGATTCCTGGAATAAGAGGAAACAAAATTTAATTCACTGATTTCAAATTCCATTATATGTAAAATCTAATATCAACTACCAGTGTATGTAAGTAAGACACTTAAAGTTACTGTATTAATATTAAATACTTGTCCCTGAGAAAAATTTTCTCCTTCAGGAGACTCCAACTGTAAGTTATAAGGGTGGAAAATGGAATGGAGTGATTTTTTTTCTTTGAATTATTTTATATTTTTTAATAAGGCATGTGTTAGATTATCAGTACTCACACTTTATAAGATTTTTTGTATAAAGATAATTTTAAGATAGTATGATGTATAAAGCAGTATTTCACCAAGATGTGTTAAACATCAGCACATTTGCATTTTTATTTCTTTTTTCTCAATAGGGAACATATTTATATGGCTGAAAAATATAATGATATAATATAAAATATAAAAATGTGAAAATTCACAGTGAAAGTGTCCTTCCCACTATCTTCCATCTGCTCAGTACCATCTCAACCACTTTCAAGAAACACCATTATTTTGTATAACTCTCCAGGATTTCTTTCTATATATACAAATAGTTATCTCCTTTTTTTCTCCTTGGACATAAAGGGTACCACCATATATATGTTACTCTACATCTTCCTTTTCCCATTATATTTTGGTAATCTTCTCAAATCTAGTATACAGATACAACCTTACTCAACCACAAATTATTTCATTGTGCAAATGCACCATCATTTGTTTATCTAGTCCCCTTGATATATGTTTATTGGGTTCCAATCTTTTACTATTACAAACCACACTGTTACGATAAACTTTATATACATTATTTCACATGTATACAAGTACATCTGCAGGAACAATTACCAGAAATAGAACTACCGGATCAAAACATAGGTGCCTCTGTATGTTGCAAAATTGTGTACTACAAAGATTGTTACATTTTAATTCATTCCAATAATGTATCAGATATGCTAATTCCTCAAGACTTAACAAGGTATTTTCACATTCATAAAACACTGAAATGAATCTAATATTCTAAAAACCACAAGCCTTTTCACATAAAATTACTAAAAATATCACATAATCATATACTTACCCGCCTTCGTCTGTTTGTTTATGAATATATGCTAGTAGATCTGCAGCTCTGCCTGTTCCTTCACACACGACAACTGGAACAGGAGGACTTCCCTGAAGGTATTCTAAAACTGTGAGGATAACATTTGGCCCACCCTCAAATATAAGTGCCACAACAGGGACACACTGACCAATTCCTAAAAAAAAAGGTAAAATATTATATTGGGCAAAATTCAGTAACTTAATCTTATTTTTTACTCAATCAAAACCAAAATATAAATAAAAAGCCAAAAAATAATTTCTTCTAAGACTATATTGACTTAATTTTAAGTACTCAACATGATTCTAGTCTGGCATAAATAAAATAGATACTGAATAAATTACTTTTACACTGGCTTAAAGTCTGTTCTAAATAACAAAGTTAGAAAATCCAATGTATAACTAAGTGCACACTAGAATGTACATATTCACTGAAAAGTAGTAATTGTTTTGTATATTTCACTAATTGAACCCTTGACAAAAAATTAAAACACTAACTCACTTTTTAGTTTTCTTTTTAATATTGTATGAACTGAACTTATATATGTATTTAATCATTTTTAAAATATGTACTTCTGATTCCAAATGCATTGAGAAATTAATATAGAAATTAATTCTCTTCAGCAAATGATGTTGGGAAAACTGGACAGCTGCATGTAAATCAATGAAGTTAGAATACTCTCTCACACCACACACAAAAATAAACTCAAAATGGCTTAAAAACTTAAACATAAGACAAAACACTATAAACCTCTTAGAAAAAACCATAGGCAAAACATTATCCAACATAAATCTCTCAGTAATGTTCTCCTGGGGCAGTCTATTCAAGCAATAGAAATAAAAGCAAAAATAAACAAATGGGACCTAATTAAACTTACAAGCTTTTGCACAGCAAAGGAAACCATAAGCAAAACAAAAAGACAACCTACAGAATGGGAGAAAATA